TTCTCAGAGTCAGCCACAGTTTGTCATGATCCACACAGTCAAATGTCTTTGCATAATCAGTGAAGCACAGATGGACATTCCTCTGGTACTCCCTGCTTTCAGTCAATCCATCTAATACATATATACATGAGAATTTTAATTAAGGAAAGAGAGTTAATTGTTTAAAGTGCAATCAGCATTGGGCATCCACAGCACAATAACTGTCTTGGAGGTAATCACAAGGTGATTATTTCAGCATCTAGAAGCCATGCAAGTACCTCACCTCAAGCTCACATCATCTCCAAAGAACTTCATCTTGGACATCACTGTTTCAAATTAGAATTTCTTTTTCTCTCTCTCCATGTAGCTGTTATAATCCTGTCACTTATCAAGGTACCTTAAGAACCTTTTTTACGAGTTTAATTAAGCTTGACTACCTCTCCCACAGTACAAAGAAAGATGAATTCCTTAAATATTTAATCCATTTATGACTCAAAGTGTCATTCCCTGAATGTGACTGTTAAGTTCCTGGAATTAATTATCTTGCGAATCCAAGCAACTTTTTTCAGACATCTATGACATACAGTCACAGTTCACATAATGTGGAGCTGCAATATTTCATCTGTTCATCAAGAGCATTTATTCCAAAGGCTGAATGCGCAGTCTCAATGCGGCAGCTTAGTGAGGGCTCCACAACTTAGGAATCCTTGGCTGCCACACCGATCAGCATGCCTTCAACCTGAAAGCAACTCTTAGTTCTTCTCTTTCCCGTTTCTAGAGTCAAAGGTCTGATTTCTCAACACTTGCATTCCAGCTATCTTGCTATTACTTATGCGTCTTGGTTGCACGATAGATTGATATCTGACAGATCAACTGGTAAAGTTGGTAGAAATAGTCTCTTTCCTCCTCTTTGGCTCTGGTTGTTGGTGCATATATTTGGATGATAGTACTATTCACTGGCATTCCTTGTATGCATATGGATATTATCCTGTCTTCCACACATTAGATTTCAAAATAGATGGATCTAGAAATGTCCTTTTTAATTGCAAAAGTGACCCTGTTTTTTCCTTACCTTTTCAAAGATTCTCACCACTAGGCCAGTTGGCAGCACCATGAGGGATGAAGAAGAGATTGAGGTTGTTAACAATTTAGATTGCTCATTCCATAATGAACCCCTTAAGCAACAGCAGTCAGGAAATCAATGGACAAATTGCATTGGGGAAGTCTGCTGTCAGGGACCTCTCCAAAGTACTAAAGAGTAATTATGTCAATCTAGAGACTAAGGTATGCCTGATCCAGGCCATGGCCTTCACAATTAGCTATTATGCATCAGAGAGTTGGACAATGATGAAAGATGACAGTAGAAGAATTGATTTCTTTGACTTGTAGTGCAGAAGAAGAGTATTGAACATACAACAGACCACCAAGAGGACAAATAGATCTGTATTGGAGAGGGTGAAACCATGTTTTGCCTTGAAGGCAAAGATCTATTACCCGGAATATTGAACAATATCATTAATATCATATACAAGCAAAATATTGACGACTATCTAAAAGACAGGGTGGTAATAGACATGTTATTGTTGTTATGTGTCATCAAGTCACCTATGACTCACAGTGACCCTATATGTACAACAGCTCTGAACCCTGCCCTGTCTTGAACCAGTCTCAACCCTATCGACTCAGTTATTGTGTAAATCCATCTCATCTGGGGTCTTCCTCTCCCACACTGTCCCTCTACCCTTCCAAGCGTGATGTCCTTCTCCAAGGACTGGTCCTTCCTGGTCACATGCCCAAAGTACATGAGATGAAGCTTCAAAATCCTTGCCTCCAGGGAGAAACTTGATTTCAACCTTTCCAAGACAGACCTATTTGTTCTGGCTGTCCAATACTCTTCTCCAGCATCACAACTCAAAGGCATCAATTCTTCTGTCATCCTTAGTCATTATCCATTTCTTGGATGGATAGCATGTGATTTCAATGGTCATAACCTGGATCAGGTACACCTTAGTCTCTAGATTGATGTCATTGCTCCTCAGTACCCTAAATAAGTCCCTGACAGCAGACTTCCTCAATGTAATTTGTCTTTTGATTTAATAGACATAGAGCTGTAATAAACATAGAACAATGATACTTAATTATACAAAATATAATGAAATATATATAAATAAGTGTATAATATGTCAAAATATATAATATATAAATAGATATAATAAAATACATGAACGATTGTATAAGACACAAAGTACATACATGAAACAAAATGTATATGAATGATTATATGTAAACAAATAAAATTTAAAACAAAATAGCTAAAACACTACATTGACAGAGAAATGCCAGAAATTCAAACTGGGTTTAGAAGACATTATGGCATCAGGAATAACATTGCTGGTACCAGATAGATCTTGGCTGAAAGCCGAGAATACAAGAAAAATATCTATTATGTTTTATTGACTATGCAAAAGCATTTGACTGTCTCAGTTGTAACAACTATGGCTAGCATTGATAAGAATGGGAATCACCAGAACACTTAGTTAAACTCTTCTGAAAACTATACCTGGACCAAGAAGCTATTGTTCCAAACTAAGCAAGGGAATGCTACATGGTTTAAAATTTTAAAAGGTGTGCATCACAGTTGTATCCTTTCTCCATACCTATTCAATCTGCATGCTGAACAAATCATTTAAGAAGCTGGACTCTATGAAGAAGATCATGGTGTCAGGATAGGAGGAAGATTCATCAACAGCCTGCATTACACAGATGACACAACTTTGTTTGCGGAAAGTAAGGAAGACTTAAGTGCTTATTGCAGAAGACCAAAGACCTCACACTTTATCATAGATTGCATCTGAACATCAAGAAAACTAAAATTTTCACCACTAGACTGACAAGCAACATCATGATAGATGTAGAATAAAAAATTAGAACTTGTCAATGACTTCATCTTACTTGGATGCACAATCATTACTATCAGCAGTCTGGATGGATATCAGGAGGCATATGCATTGGGCATGTCCGATAGCAGGGACCTCTTCCAAGTACTGAGAGTAATGATGTCAGTTTAAGGAATAAGGTGTGCCTGATCTAGGTCATGGTCTTTTCTATGCATCTGAAAGCTAGACAATAAATAAAGATGATAGAAGACTTGATGTTTCTGAGTTGTAATGTTGGATAAGAGCACTGAATGGGCTGCCAAACAAACAAATATGTCTTGGGAAAAATGTAGCCAGAGTGCTCCTTGGAGGCAAGGATGGCAAAGCTTCACCTTACATGCTTCAGGTATGTTCTAGGAGAGGTCATTCCTTGGAAAGGAGCATCAGGAGAGGTGGAGAGTCAGGAAAGGAGAGGAAGACCCTCAACAAGATGGATTGGCATGGTGACAGCAGCAATGTGTCAAAGACGGTGAGGATGACACAGGAGTTAGAGTTTATACCTGTTCAAAGGATCTCTGTGAGTCATACTTCAGAACACCTCACAACAGTAACATTGCCCAGGAAACCTCTTCCTTAAGACTAGACTCTCAAGAATGCAAAGACATCAACTGGGCAACCACACTCATAGAGCACTGACTGGCCTTGGTACCAACACCAGGTTCCTGTGTGTGGAACCAGAAGACAGGACATGTGAGTATCCAGGAAGCTGAAAACCTCACATACGCATCCACAAAACCCCCGGCACAGACACAGAAAACCTGAGTCTACGTGACTCACGTGCCATTGAGTCCATTCTGACTCATAACCCCTTATCTGAGAGAGTAGAACTCCCCACAGTGTTTGTGAAGTTGAGTCCTGATGGTACAGTTGGTAGATATCTGTGCTGCTTGCCCAAAGGCGGCACCTCTCCGGCAGATCATACCCATCACTCACAGGAGAAAGATGGGAAATCTCCTCCCTTGAGATTCACAGCCTCGTGAAAACCTGCTGGAGGGTCAGTTATGAGTCACTTCTGACCCGACGGCAAAGAGGAGGTATTTATGAATCTTTATCAAAGTAGGTTGCAGGATCTTTTCTCCCCCAGACCCACTGCTGGGTTTGAATCACTAACTTTTTGGCTAGCAGGTGACTGTTTAAGGCATTGAAGTACTGCCAGAGATCTTTTATAATGTGTAGGTGCTCAACAACCATTTAAAAGGTCCTAGCAGCACACTAGGGAGTTCTGGTGACCTAGCAGGTAAGCAGCTCTGAATTCAAAGACACACAGCCCTAACCCACCCGCTGTTGCATGGGAGAAAGTTGGGCAATCTCCACACATCAGAGTTTATATGGCTGCAACTGGCTCCTAAGGATCGGCTGTGAGTTGGTATATAAGCACAGCAGGAGCAAGCTGGACACTGTAGTTAGGAGAGCTGCTTGTTGACACAACCTTAAAGAAAGAAACTGTTTTGATTCAAATTTAGACTCCTCAAGGGATGTTACCCTGAATGCGACAAAAGAGGGAAAGTCCTTCAATGAGGTGAAATGACACTGTGACTGAGGCAATGGGCTCAAGTTGGCATGGGATAGGACAGGGTTCAGATATGTTGTTCGTACGGTCACTATGAGTCACACTTGACTCAATGACACCTAAAAACAACAACAAAAAGGGATATTAACGGAAAGGTCATAAATTGGTAATTAAGCTCGCACATTTGAAGAGCATTTTTATGTCAGCGGTCCTGTTTTAGCATTGGTTATACAAGCGGTAAAAAGAAGGTTTTTCTGGCCTAATCCACTCAGTAGTCTTCCTCTCCTCCTGTCATCGCCTCCCGCACAGCTTTGATTTCAAATCTAATTCTTTTCATTCAAAAATATTACACAGAAAACCCCATGTTGGAATCTTCAGTCCCAAATATTTCCATTATGAGAAAAGAAACGGTATTGGGAAAGAGTACTTAAAAAAAAATGTTTAAATTGGAATAAATATCTTCACTTTAAAAGAGCAAAATCGAGAAGCTTACAGTTGTCCTAATTGAATTCGCGCACGGACGGTCAACAAGGATCTCTTTGAGGACCCCCCCTCCCCGCCTCCAGGGTACATACCACCTTTCATCATGCCAACTTCATAGCACTTGCGGAGCCGGCAGGCCTGGCAGCTTTTCCTCCTGTTCTTGTCAATCGTGCACTGGTTGGTGGCCGGACACATGTAGTCGTTGTGCCCTAGGAAAAGCGCACGCAGAGAGTTAGTGCTGTTCATGACACAGCCAGGCCATTTCTACACAGACGCTGGTGAGAAGATGTTTCATTAGCACCTACGGGGCCTCACTATGTTACTACCTCTGCCTGACTTCCTTTTTTATCTAAACTGAAAACAACTCCCCTCAATTTCCTTTTTGCCTCAGCCAATTGTTTACCAAGGTTTTCCTGACAATAGCCTTCTATTTGCATGGCTTGTTATTGCAAGCACCCTGCTTTCATAGACACGCGTGAGGATAAGTTCTCAGTAGATTCATGCCTCCCACTCATCCCATCATTCCGTTCCCCCTTCATTCAAACCCTTTGCTAAACCTGTTGTCAGAGTGCAGCTGGTAGAAATAGTGCTTTCAGATGAAGAGTATCAAAGAAGCCATGCTGAATGTTATTGTTTGTATGTGCCATCCAGTCACCTGTGACTCATAGCAACCTATGTGCAAATAGCTCTTGAGCCTGCCCTCTCCTGAGCCAATCCCACTGACTCCAACACACCCACCCCATTGCCCTCATCAGTGTATCAATCCGTCTCATCTGGAGACTTCCTCTCCTGCTCTGTCCCTCCACTCTTCCGAATATGATGGCCTTCTCAAAGGATTGGTCCCTCTTAGCCACATGTCCAAAGTATAAAAGAGATCAAAATCCTAATCTCTAAGGAGAAACTTGGTTTCACTTTCTTCAAGATAGACCTATTTGTTTTTTTATTAGTCCATGGTATGTTCAAGACTCTGCTCTAGCATCACAACTCACAGGCATCAATTCTTCTATCATCCTTAGTCACTATCCAGCTCACTGATGCATAGCAGGCAATTGTGAAAACCACAAACTGGATCAGGTGCACCTTAGTCTCTAGATTGACATCATTGCTTTTCAGCGCTCTGGAAAAGTCCCTGACAGCAGATTTACCTAATGCACTTTGTCTTTTGATTTCCTGCTGGTGCTTAGATTTTTTATTGTGGAACTGAGCAAGCTGTAACTGTTAACAACTCCAATCTCTTCTCCATCCATCATGGTTCTGCCAATTGACCCAGTGGTGAGTTAAATAATCTCTAAGTCCAGAACAGCAAAATTCAGACTGGGATAGTGGAATGGGGTGACAGATAATTAGCAAATTTATTTTCCCAACAAGGTCGTCTTGTTCTCAGCACACATAGCCACATGAATATTCTGCCCTAAGACTTAGAAGTCACTTTCATTTTATATAGGGATATATATATATATGGAGAGAGAGAGAAAGAGAGCGAGCGAGTGCGCTGGGTTTAAACTATGATGAATATTGAACTGTTTAAGAAAATTAATGCATATCAGCTTATTTTATAAAGAATTCCATTTACCTAAGTCTCAATTTTATATAGAATATGCCATAGATTTATCTTGATATCCAAAATTATGAGCGACAGGATAATATCCATATGCCCACAAGGAAGTCCAGTAAATACACTATCATTCGTATATATCCATAAACAACTAGAACCAAAAAGGAAGAAAAAGACAATTTCTACCCAACTTTGCAGCCAGAAATCAATCAAATATGCAACCAAGATGTATTAATAATAATGGGTGACTGGAATGCACAAGTTGGAAACAAGGAAGAAGAATCAGTAGATGGAAAACATGGACTTGGTGACACAAATGAGGCTTGAGATACAGTAATAGAATTTTGTACAAGTAATGCTTTATTCATTGTAAATGCCTTTTATAAGAAACATAAACTGTGACTATATGCCTAGATTTCACCTGATGGTATGCACAGGAATCAGACTGATTACATCTGTAGAAAGAATCACTGGAGAAATTCAGTACCAGCTGTGAAAACTTAACCAGCTGCAGATTGTGGAAAAGACTATCAGCTACTCATATACAAGTTTTAACTTTAGCTAATGAAGGTTAAATTAAATCCACAGAACCAAAATTTGACCTTAAAATCTGTCTCACCTGAATTTCAAAACCATTTCAGGAAGAGGTTTGAGGTTTTGAACACTAATGAGCTCTGGGAGGATATTAAGAATATCGTTCATGAAGAATGCAAAAGTTCATTACAAAGATAGAGGAAGGAAAAATGACCAAAATGGATGTCAGAACAGACTCTGAATATTGCACTAGAGCACTGAGAAGCCAAAGCAAAGGGGAAAAAAGCAGGAAGTTAGGGAGCTGAATAGAAAATGTCAAAGGGCAGCTCGAGAAGACAAAGCAAAGCAGTATAATGAAGTGTGTTAAGAGCTGGAGTTAGAAAATGAAAAGGGCCATACTTCCTTGGCATTTCTTAAGCTGAAGGAACTGAAGAACAAATCTAAGCCTTAAGTTGCAATACATAAGGGCAATTCTACTATGGGCAGAATATTGAATGGTCCAGGAAGCATTAGAAGAAAAAGAAGAGTACACAGAGTCACTGTACCAAAAAGAAGTGGCTGACAAAGAATTTAAAAAAAAAAAACAACCCACCACCACAACAACAAATGATCAAGAGGCAATGATGATGGAGAAAGTTTAAGCTGCTCTGAAGGAATTAACAAAAAACAAGGCCCCAAGAATTGATGGAGTACTAACTGACATATTTCATCAAACAGACACTATCCTGGACGTTCTCAACAGGTTGTGCCAAGAAATCTGGAGGACAACTACCTGGCCAACTGAGTGGAACAGATCTATAGTTATGCCCATTCCAAAAAAAGGTGACCCTATAGAGTGTGGAAGTGATTCAACAATATCACTAATATCACATGCAAGTAAAATCCTGATGATTTAGAAATTCCATATGACCCAGCTATTTCATTGCTTGGAATATACTCCAAGAAAATGAGAACTGAGGCTCAAACGGAAACTTGTACACCAATGTTCATAGCAGTGTTATTCATCATCGCAAGGACATTGAAACAGCCCAGATGTCCAACCGCAAATGAATGGATTGAGAAGTTGTGGTGCATCCACACCATGGAATACTACGCAGCACGCAGGAGCAATCATTTTGTAAATTACTATCTAACTTGGGAGGGACTGGAGAGCATTATGCCGAGTGAATTCAGTCCTACAAAGACAAATACTATATAAAACTATTGTTGTCGAATGAGTATGAGGATCCAAGGCTGGGGAGAGGGTGGAAATAGAGAGGTGAGGATGGAGGGTAGGGTGTTAGTCATAGAGTTGCACAATTTCATAGGTGGGTAGAGTGAAGGAAATGGGAAGGATCTTTTGCGAAAAACAATGTATTCAAACTTTGTAAATAAATCCGAGTAAAATTTTTAAAACAATAGTAAATCCTGATGATTATCCAAAAAAACAACTGAAACAATACATTAACAGAGATCTACCAAAAATACAAGCTGGGTTTAGAAGAGGCCAGGGCATTAGGGACATCATATCCAAAGTCAAATGGATCATGGCTGAAAGCAGAGAGTACCCTAGGAATGCCTATCTGTGTTTCATTGACTATGCTAAAATATTTGACTGTGTGGATCACAACAAATTGTGGATGGTGCTTATGCAAAGTCTAGACGTGGACTAGGGAGCAGTCCTCAGAGCAGAGTAAGAAAATACTGCATGGCTTAAAATCAGGAAAGGAGTGCATCAGTGATACATCCTGTCTCCATACCCTTTCCATCTGTGTGTAGAACAGATCATTCAGGAGGCTGGACTTTATGAAGGGAAATAAGGCTTTCAGATTGGAGGAAGACTCATCAACAACTTGTGTTATGCAAATGACACAACCTTGCTTACTGAAGCATTTGCTGCAGAAGGTCAAGGCCTGTAGTCTTCAATATGAATTGAAGCTCAACATCAAAAAGACAAACATTCTCACCACTGGGCAACTGGCCATGATAGATGGAGAAAAAATTGAGAATAATTTCAGCTTGCTTGACTTCACCATCAGTCAGAAAATCTAAGGATGAGTTGCACTGAGGAACTGTGCTGTCAGGGACCTCTTCAAAGTGCTAGAGAGCAATGATGTCAGTCTAAAGACTAAGGTACATCTGATCCAGGCCATGACCTTCACTATTACTTGCTGTATATCAGAGAGCTGGACAATGACTAAGGATGACTGAAGATGAATTAATGCCTTTGCATTGTGGTGCTGGGGAAGAGCATTGAACATACTATGGACCACCAAGAGAATAAACAGGTCTGTCTTGGAGAATGAAACCAGGCTGCTCCTTGGAAGCAAGGATTATGAAGCTCTATCTCACATACTTTGGGCTCATGGCCAGGAAGGAGCAGTCCTTGAAGAAGGACTTCACGCTTGGAATGGTGGAGGGATAGCACAGGAGAGGAAGGCCATGGATGAGATGGATTGACATAGTAACTGGAGTAATGGGGGTATGTGTGTTGGAGACAGTGAGACAGGTAGGGCTGGGTTCAAAACTAATGTGCTTAGCGTCACTGAGTCGCAGGTGACTCAATGGCATAGCAACAACATCCCATGGAATACCCAAAGAAGAGAGAAATGTGTCTTGGAAGTAGCCCAGATAGAGTGCTTCTTAGAAGCGCAGACAGTGGAACATCCTCTCACGTCTTTTAGGCATCTTGTCAAGAGGCATTAGTCCCTGGAGAAAAACATGGCTGGTTAAGTAGAAGATGAGGGGGAAATGTGGAAAACACTCAATGAAGTGGACTTACACAGGAGCTGGGGCACAATGGGGCAACATCTTGTTCTATGGTGAGTCAGAAGCAACTGTTCAGCACCTAACAACAATATTTTTTTACATATTTATTTAAATATATCCTGAATTAAGACTAAGAAATGATAAAAATTACTCTTAAATTCTGTCTTCAGTGTAGAACAGAACAGAGTTAGTTTTATGTTCTACCCTCTAACGCAGATTTTCTAAGTCTTCCTTATGCTGTTGACTCAAGGCAAGACGCAACAAGAAGAAAAACATCTTAACTACGGAACGCTTTGTTCTTAATTCAACTTAAGGGTTAGTCCAATTAGAACGGGGTGGAGTGGAGACTTTACAAGAAATGTTGGTCTCATA